GGTAGAAGTTTTCGAGCTTTCAGAACCGGAACGATGCATAGCAGGGCATCTTCTCTTGAACCAAGCTCACCGGACTCGAAGCAGGCGACTAACTCGTCGAGGCGGCTGCTGTATGAGATATAGCTGTTTTGTGAGCCTGGACGCACATCCACATCGCCACCAATTGTTTCAAAGTCTTGGAGAACGCTTCTGAGGAAATGGATATAGATATCCTGAGCAGCCATGGTCTCGAGATTATTCTGTGTTTTCACAACGAGAATTTCCTTGCTTCCAGGGTTCTTGTCTGAATAGAGTCCAAAGAGTTCGCTACCAAATGACACGGTCTTGGACGAAACCATCCTGGCTTCCGTATGGCGGTAAATCCACTTATGAAAATAAAGGTCGGTTTCTTCTGCCATTGCCTCAGATTTGGTCAACCCAACAGCACGATCAAGCCCAGTTTGAAGCCATTTCGAATTCGACTTCAGCAGCGACCATGTCCATAGTCCTAGAACTGCCTCGAGCTCGGTCTCATCAACCTTCCACAACAAGGTATCTTCTGATCTATACAGTTTGATGGTGTAGGTTTCCAGCGCAGGATTGAAAACGCCTTTGTTGAGAGACTGACAGGTGAGCATGAGGTCGAAGCTAACGGTATCTTCAGTCATGTTCTTCCAGCCTGATAGCAAGTCCATTGTTCTTTCTATCGTGTCGGCCAGCTTTTGGGCCCTCTCCCTAATTGGAAGGCCATCCCAAGCTAAGCTGGACTCTTTGTCAGGGTTAGATGTAAGGCGGGCTAGTTGAGCCCTTGTCGTTATAAGCTTCGTTCCAAGGCCGGGTGTCTGACTTGGAGTTTGTGTTGATGCAGCTGCTGACGAGGTTGTCGACTGAGCTCGGGATCTATGTGGCGCGCTCGAGACTAAACCAAACGATCTGACTTGTTCAAGATGAAACGCAAAGCAGTCAAGTTCTTGCTCGTTATAGGACACAAGATGGCGCTCTTCAGCCGTTAGGCGGTTCTCGTCCGATCCGGACCTCTTGGTCCGCAGGCAGGCTCTGACGATGGACATTAGGAGAGTAGCGCCCATTTCTGCCAGTACCACAGAGGCATGCAGCCCTCGGATACCGACAAACTGAATGACAAACCCAATAAGGGTAATAATCACAGTAAATACGAGCAATGGCCCTTTCCCGAAAATTCCAGGGCTTCTGACTGATTTGATATACAAGAGGTCTTCAGTCGCCTTGGAATTAGGCCCCTCGCTAACACCTAGAAAAGCTCCGAAAACTTGGTCACCGACATCTTGGCCGCCGGGCTGCAACCAGTAGATCTTGCTGGGCATTGCAGGTCGAATGTAGCATTCTGTGGACGAGCGCTCGATGATGAAGGCGCACAGGAACATGCCGATGCAGAGAAAGATAGACCCAAGGGAAAACAGCGGAAAAGCATAGCTTACGACAAGGCTTCCGTCTTTCTTGAATTGTACTGGGAAGAGGTAGACAGTAATTGCAGCATATACAATGACCCCTGACATAACTTGTCAATATAGGCCACGGGCAATACCAAAGACGTGTCAGCGTCAACTCACCAACTTGCAGACCTAGTCCCAAAACAGCAGCAGCATAGAACCAGCCTTGGCTGCTCTTCTCAATTCCCTTGTTCAGTGACAGATTCGGGATGTCGAGCTCGGGCAAGTATTCCTTCTCATTGAGAATCCAACTTCCTTTGCCCGCCAACCAAGCACCCTCACGGAGGGCATCGCGGAGAGTTCCTATCCGGTAGGAGCGCTCCTTTGTCTGAGGATCTGTCTCCTCCCAGGCAATAGCCTCTAGTAGTCGAGGTCTTCCGAATACCCTAGAAATTCCTCCATTGTTGAACATCTCCGCGGTCGTCTCGGACACGCATGACAAGAGTTCATTTTCAGCTTCACCAGGGCCCTCTTGAGCCCGTCCTATAAACGCGCGGAGAGATGAGTTTCCGCAAACACGAATAACGGAAACCACTGCCGTCAATATACCCAATGGGGCCACAGAGAAGAGGAAGTTATCTAAGATGCTGGTTGATTCAGACAAGAACTGTTTGCTAAGCCGTTCACCAAAGAGGGATATCAAAGGTGCCTAAGATTAGACTATCATTAAACTCGTCCCCCAAAAATGTGTGAGAAAGGCATCATACCAAGTCTGTAGCAAGGTCATCTGCAAAATCATCCCAGCCGGTGGCCAAAGCACCGGGAAGTAATGATAGTATAGTAATAAGCGATAGATGCCACACCATGGTGAGGCATGCGGTATGACAGACAGTTCTGGCAGAAAACTTTAAGAGTTTCCCCTACAATATCAACAGAAAATAGGATATAGCTGAGTCAAATACATCTGCTATATTTATCAACATCCAACCCTCCATGATAGCTGCAGCTCAGCCTTGTCGCCTGTTCACAGCCCCGCGCGGACTCGATCGAAACACCAGCTCATCTTGCATCCCGGCGGTTCGAGCTGTTCTTGAATCGCTGTCCAACAAATCAAAGGTGATAATTAAGTCTAGCACTAAATAGATAAACGCCCTTGTTATGCATAAGGATTGTAGGCCGTCTATGAGTGGACACATCGTTGTGGCGTACCATAATCGTCGGCGCTAACAAGAGTCGATCGTCGTTTCTCATGCCGGGGCGAGGGGAGATTGATTTGCCTTTAGAGGCTTAACCGTGTAAGACACAGTAAAAGTGAGCGAAGCTTAAGCGCCGAAAGTTTGAAGATCGTAACAATGATGGAATTGAAAGCGGGAATGAGTCGAGGTCTACAGTGTTAACTTTCGTGGCAGAGACTACAGGAGCGGTAAACCCGCAATCGAGGACAGATACGTATTGAGCAACCTCTGTCCGTAGTTGGAAAGACACATCCCAGTTACTTCTATGACTAGAATAATTTCACCATTAACCCAAGTAGTCTGCGACGCGCTATCCCAACTAACCCGAACTCAACGGTTTTGCCAGATAATAATGAAATCAACCACCAACGCCTTTCCCATGAGCAAATGAGGGTGTGCGAAAGAAACATCAAAGGGCGCCTCTCCGGCCTGCACTTGAATAAGAACTATAAAGCGAATAGAATTTCGACTAGTCACGCATCTAGAAGATGCTGTTGACAATGTTCGAACCGACGGTAGCACCGGCACCGAAAATAGCTAAGTGTGATTGTCAGTAAAAATGATTGTAGACAAGAAGACGTCCGCGGCGCATCAAATCGATATGTCAAAGTGCGCGCGCATTGCTTGAAACGTACCGGCATTGCCCATCTTCTTGCCGAACTTCTTGCCCTGCTCCTCAAACTTGGACTTCTTGCCCTCTTCACCCGGAGGCGCCGAGCCACTCTGGCTGACTTCCAGCGGCATGTTTCCATAGTTGGTCGGGGGAGGAGACGAAACGGCCTTGTCATTCAGCACGTTCACGTAGCTCCGAGGGAAGATACCCTCAAGGTTGGTGCGCTCGTTACGACCACGCCACCCTATACACAGCGGTTAGCAAGGGAGGTTGCACACAAAGGGTATCGGCAGCCCTACAGTCGGCATTCATGTGTTCCAAGACTTGAACACGATCGTGGGGCTGGAGAGCCAAGTCTCCGGGATCCGTCGGAGTGTAGGCATAGAGCGCTGAAGCGATAGACAGTACCGGTGGAGCTTGGGGATAAGCAGGTGGCGGAACAGGCGGGGTTGAGTATTGTTGCGGAGGAGGCTGCTGATAAGTGGCCTTCTCATTCAAGGTAGTGTTTGCAAACTGGTTCGTAGGAGGAGAGTACGGGGCAGGGGGCTGCTGGGCGACGACAGGTGGTTGTTGCACTGGTGGCTGCTGCTGAGGCACGGGGGCTCTGCTGCGTTCATCGTCCCTCGGTAGTTGCGATAGAATGGATGAGAGCTGTTGCGGAGTAATGACTGATGCATCTGCGAGAAATTCAAGTTCCTAGTGGATCGAAGGATGTCAGCAAGGTGCATTATTGAAAATCAGCTCGAGCAACCCCGTTTACTGAGCGACGCTGACAGGGGAGGGCATCCTACCGATCGGACGTTGCGGAGCGACCGGTTGGTCATAGCCGAGAAGAAGTCGGACTGGGACGCCATGCTCATGGATTGGGAAGAACGTAAAAGCACACAACAAGAAGGTATCAAGCTTTGTAGATATGCAGATCAAACGAAGACAGTGAAGACAGTGAAAGACAGGGTTGAAAGAATGAGACAGAGAGACGGATGAGATGGAGCGAGTGGACGGAGGCAATCGATAATGAATGAATAATAATGTAACGGCATGGCAGGCCCGCCAGTTGGTTCTCCTACTTGCTAGTCAGTTGGTACCTGAGGCCCCCAGTCTCGGGGGTGGGTTGCCTGCCGCTAATTGGCTCCGAGAATTTAGTCCGTCTTGTCATTTCAGGCATCACCATATCACAGGCGCCCTTTTGAGACATTGAAGAATCCACATTGTCTTGTTTTCCAGAGTGTGATCGGAGCTTATACTAACACTGCATGTCTGGTGTATTCAACAGTAAACAGAGGATTGGGTCCTTACGAATATTTGTCACTGACATTCTCCGGCTATCCGGGACCACTACCTAGGAATGAACAAGACACCTGTCGCTAACTACAACACTTGGGGACCCTACTCCTAATAAGGGGTGGCTCGTTTAAGTGGGACTAGAAATTGTTAGCTTGCTTCTATTGACATATAGTCGTACTCGTATGTGTCTGATGTCAAGGTACCCGAACTGCATTGCTGATTCTCAGAATATCTCCTTACGAAATACACTATGCTCTACAAGGCTGGAAGGGACTGCTTAACTGATATATAAGCGCATATACCCAAGTGTCAACTCGAAGTCAAGACCGTTCTTATGACGCCTGGGCGCCTTTGATAAACAAAGCAACTAGAATCCCAATTGAACAGATGCAGGCAGCGCTGCAGCAAGCAACAGTGATAAATGACGGGAATCAAAACAAGCAAGGTATAATACCCTTCAAACACCCTCTTCATCTCTTCTTAATTGTCTCCAACGTATGAGCTGCGGAAGTATCCCGCAATCCTCGATGCCAGTTCGGGATCAAGGGCTTTGAGGCGTGAGTCTGGTCGGTAGAATCCTCGATAACGCATGCAGCAACCACATTCGGCGGTACAGTGGCCATGAAATCCAATCATTTCCTTCTGATCGCCCTCAGGCAAGAGATAGTGACGGAGAGGTCTCTCACAGCATCTACATCTGCGACCGCAACAGCCACCAAGCGAGGCGCACATGAGCTTGTCCTCCTCCCATGCCAAAGTCTGGCCCTCTTCATTTCTGTGATGCTGGAGGAAGTCAAACTCATCGATGATAGGGCCAGATGGTTTTTCAAGGGTCAACGATTTCCATGCCTTCTGGCACCGGTAGTAATGCTCCTCTGCAAGGGAGACTTGACGTTTCGGATCCGAGGGCCCCGGGACATGCTGGAAGGGATTTTCTGGCTCAATACTGTGTCTGTATCTGACCCTTTCCAGGCAGTTGATTCGCTGCAGGAGAGCGAACTCGAGTTCCTCGTTCTCCTTGTAGCGCTTGATCCAGTCTTTTTGGATGTTACACTTGCTTGGCCTGTGCTTCTCATATAGTCTTGCCCTATCGTAGAGACGGCGTCTGAGATTGTAGCGTTCGTCTTTGACAACCCGGAGCCAGATAGGCCTGAGTATTTCTGAGATTAGATCGAAGGGTCTGTGGATAGATTCCTTCAGTATCAGCGACGTATGTGACTCGTGGGTCGGAGGGAGCTTGTGGGTGGTCATCTTGATGGCGTCCTCTGTATTTTGTTGCTCTTCGTTGATTGTGCTTCTTAGGTTGACACTGGAATCAATAAAATTTTCTCTGCCAGACACTGTTGTTTACGTATACTGACGTAGTAGATACGGCGTCAGGATGAGGGCATTTTGTGTGCTCGACCACGGGATCATGCTTCGTTAGTATACTGGCTAGGATAAATAACGATGGGGATGTTCATGTCCTCAAAGACCATCTATATCAACAAATGTCAATGAATTAGGCATCTTGATGCGAATGAATGTACCAGTCAAGAATACCGTACTGCCGTTGCAAATACCTCGCCTTACCTCAAACCTATACTCATTACTATACAGGACATAATTCTACTTCCCGATATAGTAATACGCCAAGGAAGCAGCACAGATATCCCAGCCAAACAACACCGGCCCAAGCAAAGACATTTCTAATCAGCACTAAGCACAAATCTAACAGCTCGCTCCCTAATCAATAATCCCAGGCTAAGCGACACACTCTGACTCACCACAAACAAATACCGAAGTAAAGCAAAGCAATGCAAGGCTTAGCCCAGAACCTCAGCCAACAATCGGGCAACGTACGGGGAAAGATTGGCCGATCCATGATGTCAGCAACCCTAACCTAAAGCAGACTAGCGCATACCGCCCCTCTGACTCCGCCATCCCAGGGCTCGAGAAGCTTCCGTGGCGTCGATATAAATTCAGCGGGCCTTGAACATCCCTCCTTACGACACATCTCACGCGATCGCACTTGACACTCACACACCGCCACCTTCACATACTCCACCCACACCACACCTTCAAATCAACCCAATATCACCTCTAGAACCTCCATCTTATCACCAACTTCGCATCTATCTTCAAAATGAGCGACTGGGACTCTGTTACGCGCATTGGTGCCAGACACACTGGTGGCCCTGCCACCCGCGAGACTGTTGTCAAGGGTAAGAGCGCCTTGAACGCCGCCCAGCGCCAGGGTCTCGTTATCGGTACTGAGAAGAAGTATGCTACTGGTAACGCTGTGAGTATACCATTCAATTTGCCCCTCGTTTGGGTTCAGGAAGCAATGAAAGAGGGGTAGCCAGGCTAACACAGAGATAACAGGCCGGACGCTCCGGTGCCCCCGAAGGTCAGCACCTGACCAAGGTTGACCGCAGCGACGACATCGTCAAGCCCAAGACCGTTGGCTACCAGGTGGCGGATGCGATCAAGAAGCGCCGAAACGAGGAAGGCTACAAGATGACTCAGAAGGAACTCGCCACTAAGTGCAACACCACCATCACTGTTGTTCAGGACTTCGAGCGCGGTACTGCTACTCCGGACCAGAAGGTCCTCAGTGCCATGGAGCGCGTGCTGAACGTCAAGCTGAGGGGTACGGGCATCGGACAGGAGAAGTTCCCTAAGAAGAAGTAAATTGATCGGGGGTGAGCCCGCGGCTTTTTCTTGGGGGAATCGGAGTGAAAAATCGATGATTGAATAATCGCTTCACCTTTTTTTTACTCTTTCGACGGCTTTTTCTTATGGTTTTTATTTGGTCATGCCCGGGTTTACTTACGACCTTTTTTCTTTTTTCCCTTTTCGAGAGACTTTTTCGGATGTTACGTTATGAATGAGATCCCATGATTCTTTACTTCTTTTACCCCCATTCCCAACTGTGGTTCTGCTGGTCGGAAGAGCGCTGGCCTGGTATTTATATTATGAGGGGTGTGTGATGTGTGATATTCGGGGAAGATGAAAAGAGAAAGAAAAGATCATACATGTTGATAGAAATGTGCAGTTTGCCGGTATCGTGTTCCTAGAGAGTATCTTTTAGTACTCGAGAGATAGAACATTGAGTTGCACGTTGAGTACGCAACAACAGTCCAAGATCAGACAAAATAAATGGTGAAACTACTATAGTCACCCGGAACTGATTTCCATAATTCATTTATACTTATTCGACGAATGTCATCCAGTACTCACTCAGTTAGTATGTGACTAGCCTGACTTGAAGTGAGGAATGAAACAACAACAATTGTAGTAAACAAATCTACCCAAAACAGATCAGAATCCCTTATTCTAAGTCTTCACATTTCCATGTAAAAGCTAAAAACTCTGCTAAAGCCAGCCCAGCCAGTCGAAGTTGAACTTCACCAACTAAATAGCTCTACTAAAACTTGGAACTCAACCTCCTTTGAATTGAACTCTATCTCACTTTCACCCTTTTAACATGCACTTTGCATTTGTCTTAGGTGCCATCAGCACCTTCGTCTTGCTTCCTCTCAGCCAATGTCGACCGCTTGGTCCTAGCTGCAGTCAACTACAAGGAGTTGACTCCAAGCTTGATAGCCTTCAACACGCTGCCGATTAGGTTTACCCTAATGACGAAAACATCTTTCGCAATGAGAGACTAGATGGCATGCGCTTCTCTATCGATGAGGAATGCGACACCTCTGAAAAGTCCGACGATTTACTTGATTCTACTCTGGTATGTTGCATGCATCTTTTGATATGTATTCAGTCAACTGACATCACATCCTCTAGAGCACTCTGTCGGTCAGTAGGAGGCACACTTGAAGTCTTCGCGGAGTTTGAAAAGTGTTCGGTATTAACCACTTCGACCCGTTTACAGGGATTGTAAGCTGTAAGTTCGCATATAAAACCCGTTACCGGTTTGATTTTAGGCTGATTATGTTTGTATTCAGGGCTAAAGCTGGTACTCGTAGACAAGAGATTGAATAATATTTGGTTTGCTTTCTGCTCTTTCGGTACGTTATATGTTCTATCAAGACATATGGTGAATTGACATGTCCTATAGTTTTGTTGGTAGGTTTGTTTGAGGTTTTGGCTGGGACAAGCAGTACTACTACTACTTGTCGTGTTCATTCTTCAGGGCCTGTTGGGTATGGGTGAACAAGAGTTGTATTCGATGTGTACCATGTTTCGTGATACCTTATCTTGTTGTCAATGTTCTACTTTGTATTCATGATAGGGCATCACGATTACGTTTCTGTTCAGTTATCCAGTGCCAGTCCTCCCTAAGGTGCTTCCTAAGTATCAACTGTTGCGTTCTCGCGATAGTTAGTCATTGTATTAGAGGCATGACAATGTAACACTGCCAGAATTTGACGGTCTTAGCCCTGTTGTACGTAGTTCGGATGTTGATGTGATGCCTCTTGACCTCAAACGACGCGGGCGACGTCATGAGTAGTACCCGCCACTAATACTACTTTGAACTTGAAAGAAGAAATGAAGCAATGTAGTTTCTTTTATTAGGACACAAGAAAGCGACCAGAAAAGCAAATGGTACCAACTCCGACTTTATCATGGTTAAGAAATGATAGAAAAAGAACTCATGCCCTGAATCGCCCCGAGGTCTCTTTCTCGTACCGCCGTGCTGCCTGTCCTTGCTACTTTTGGTTTCTTTTGTAGTAAGTAAAGGAGAAAAATGATATCATCTTCGCCTCATGAACACATACACACACGATGCGTGTTTATAAAAACTGGTAGGTAGGTAAGATAGGGGGAGGAAAAACTAAAAAAACTCTTTGCAAAACTTTCGTCACACACTTCACTTCCTCAGCTGCTCGCGCTCGACCTCGTACATGAAGTCGAAGTAGGGCTTGTCGAAGTGGTGCACACGGACGTAACCGTCCTCACCACCAGAGGCGTAGGCAGTACCGGCGGGGTGGATGTGAACAGTGTTGAGGGGACCGAAGTGACCGCGGACACGGCCAATCTCGTCCTCGAAGACCTTGTGGTAGAAACGAGCCTCGAACTTACCCTGACGGGCAGAGGTCGTGGTGACATCCATGGCGGCCTGACCACCTCCCAGGATCACGTAGTCCTTCTTGGGCGTAATAGTGGCGCTGTTCAGGGGAGTGTCGGCAACGTAGGTTTTGAGGATGGCGAGGTTACGGGTAGACATGAGCTGGTTGGTGTTAGCATTGAGAGCCGTTTGATATGCAAAGTAGCAGGTTATGTACCTTGGCGGACTTGTCCTTGGAGGCAGTGATGAAGTAGGTGCGGTCGGGGGAGAACTGGATGTCGTTGATCTGGTGGTCGAACTCGTGGGCCTGGACGTTCTCCAGCTGCTCACCGGTCTATCATCAAGTTAGCATTTAGCCCCCTCAACGCATGGCAAAAAAGGTATTCTCCGCACCTTTCCGTCGTACTGGCTGACACTGCCGTCTTCGTGACCAGCAATGATGTACTTGCCCATGTAACTCCAGCCGGCAACCGTTGCCTTGCTCTCTGTGCAGGTGATGCGCAAGCTAGGCTCATCAGCCTGTTCCGTCAAGTTCTCGCCGTAGTTGATGTCCAACACCGCAATGGTACCCAAGAAACCCATACGCTTCTCCGTCACAGCCAAGAGTCTGCTTCCATCGGGGGTGAACTCGACCCGCTTGACGGCCGTAGGGAAGTCCCACACCTTAATGCACTCGCCGGTCTTCACGTTCCATAGTCGCACGGTGTTGTCTGCCGAACCGGTTGCCAGAATCTGAGTGTTCGGGCTCACATCGACCGTCCAGATAGCACCCTGGTGTCCGTTGTAGGTACCGAGTCGCTCGCCGTTGGCCGACCACCAGGCGCACACAATTTTATCCTTAGCCACGGAGAAGATAAGATCGCCATCGCGGTTGAACTTGATTTGGTTCAGGGACCGTTCCTATTTAGCAGAAAATCCATCAGCGGCTCGTCCATATTTCCTTTCATTTCCCAAATTTTATATCATTTTCCTAGCTCTGGGGTGCGACTATCATCGCGTTCGGGGGTGGGTATAGGCGAAACGCACATGGCCGGAGAGCAAAATGGGCCGCATTTTGGGCCGATCAAGCTGTGAATCTGGGTAAGGCGACGGAGGGGAAAAAGATGCTGAATCAGAGGTATGTATCCTCTGTAACCGGAGTCGACTAAGACCTGCGAGATGAGGCGGAAATCCTTGCGGGGTGCTGGCGGGCTCACGTTGTCGGCGTCGTCAGACTAGTTTGAATTTCATCGCACAGTCCGGGCTTGCCCGCCAAGACTTTCCTGTTCGAGCCTGTTCTGTATGAAACGCTTCATACCGGATACGTGGTTCTTCCGTTGCGATGATACACGTCATGTGATTTGATCAAGCCCTGAAGGTTTCCTACCAATTGGGACCTGGAAGGCGTGATGGGCTGACCGCCAACTACGCGCTATACCCAATGCAAACATATGGCGTTCCGAAAGTCCGAAGCATCTGAAAGTTGCGGCTCGCGGGAAACTTTGTCTTGTGAAAAACAGCAGAACAATGGTAAAAGGAGGAGGCATTGAGAGTCGCTGAAAGGACATCTTCACCCACTAGAACTATAGAATATAAACAGATCACAAAGATCAATTGGGAGAGCTGCAGACACTGAAGACATTCAGTGTTGTTTGGAAGCTAATGATTTCAATTATTCACCGATATTACTCGCGTTTGCGTTGATCGACCCTTTCCCTATCTCCATCTGACCCGGCCGAGGAAAGCTGGTTGGCACTGGGCCAACCGACGAAGCAAATTAGATGCCTTTCCCCCCCGCTCGTTCGGCGACACTACCCCGCTGTGCTGTCAACGCGAAGCATTCTTATACCCTTTCCCCAAGTCACCGTTTTTACCCACTACTTCCACCCTCTGTTCGACGCCAATTTTCTTCTGCACGCGGGGTTACGTCTCGTATCCGCTTTTCGCCGTTATCTGCCAGACCTGGCGTGCTAGCTTGCGAGTGGCTTGGTTGCGCACCGTCTTGTCATCATCGTCCATTTTCCGGCACCAGGACAGCCATGACGGCCACCAACATTAACGGCACACAGATTGCCAAGAACATCCGGGCAGGGTTGAAGGAAGAGATCCAGAAGATTCAGGAATCGAACCCCCGCTTCAAGCCTAATTTGGTGATCTACCAGGGTGCGTGTTGCTGTCACAGAAATTTGCCCCGCGGTCAAAAATAAACTGACAGTGCGAAATGAACAGTGGGAAGCAGATCAGACTCGAGTAAGTTGTAGGCGTCGTGTTGGTGGGAAGGTTGTATAGACTGACTTAGGCTTCAGGCACCTATGTGCGCATGAAATTGAAGGCCGCAGAGGAGGTGCGTCATCACTCATGATTACCATCCTTCCATCTACTCAGTGCTGACTCGCCCCGAACAGGCCGGTATTATCTGCAAGATTATCAACTTCCCCGAAGACGTCACACAGGCCGAGGTCCTCCAGGAAATCACCAAGTCCAACAATGATACCTCGATCCACGGCATTCTCGTCCAGCTGCCCCTCCCCGAACACTTGTCCGAACACACCATCACCTCTGCTGTCGCCGATGAGAAGGATGTCGATGGATTCGGTGCGATCAACATTGGTGAGCTGGCCAAGAGGGGCGGTCGTCCTCTCTTCGTCCCCTGCACCCCGAAAGCTGTGATGAAGCTTTTGGCGGAGGCCGGCGTCGACCCCTCCGGAAAGCAAGCCGTGGTCCTTGGCCGCAGTGACATTGTTGGAAGCCCGGTCAGCTATCTGTTGAAGAATGCTCACGCCACCGTGACTCTCTGCCACTCGAAGACCCCCGACATTGCACGCATCGTCAAGACCGCCGATATTGTCGTTGCAGCAATTGGACAGACCGAGTTTGTCAAGGGTGATTGGCTGAAGCCTGGCGCCGTCGTTATCGATGTTGGTATCAACTACAAGCCCGATGCTACTAAGAAGTCTGGTTCCCGACTTGTTGGTGATGTCGAATTCGAGTCTGCCGCCCAGGTCGCTTCGCAGATCACCCCAGTCCCCGGTGGTGTTGGTCCCATGACCGTGGCTATGTTGATGGAGAACGTTGTCTCCGCAGCCAAGGCGTACTTCGAAAAGCAAAGAGACAGACGCATCACTCCCCTCCCGATCAAGCTGGCCAGCCCCGTTCCCTCCGACATTGCTATCTCGCGTGCGCAATACCCTAAGCAGATTACGGACCTCGCCTCGGAAATTGGCATTGAGCCCCACGAGCTCGACCCCTACGGCCACACAAAGGCTAAGGTCAGTCTCGGTGTGCTCGACCGTCTGTCGCACCGCCGCAATGGTAGATACATCCTGGTCTGTGGTATCACCCCTACCCCTCTCGGTGAGGGCAAGTCCACAACCACGCTTGGTCTCTCGCAAGCTCTTGGTGCACACCTCGGCCGCATTGTGTTCGCCAATGTGCGCCAGCCTAGCCAGGGCCCTACGTTTGGTATCAAGGGTGGAGCTGCTGGTGGAGGATACAGTCAGGTTATTCCTATGGATGAATTCAACATGCACTTGACTGGCGATATCCATGCCATCACCGCCGCCAACAACCTTCTCGCTGCCGCCATTGAGACTCGCATGTTCCACGAATCCACTCAGAAGGATGCTGCTCTCTACAAGCGTCTCGTCCCCGCCAAGAAGGGCGAGCGCAAGTTCCAGCCCATCATGTTCCGCAGACTGAAGAAGCTGGGAATTACCAAGACCAACCCCGACGACCTCACCGAGGATGAGGTTCGCCGCTTTGCTCGCCTTGACATTGACCCCGAGACCATCACTTGGCGCCGTGTTCTGGATGTCAACGACCGTCACCTCCGCGGTATCACTGTGGGACAGGCTCCCACGGAGCGAGGCCACACTCGTGAGACTGGCTTCGATATCTCGGTTGCTAGTGAATGTATGGCTATCCTGGCCCTGAGCAACAGCCTGGAGGACATGCGTGAGCGTCTTGGACGCATGGTTGTTGCTACGTCGAAGAACGGTGACCCTGTCACCTGTGACGATATTGGTGCGGGCGGAGCGCTTGCTGCGTTGATGAAGGATGCTATCAAGCCCAACTTGATGCAGAGCTTGGAGGGTACGCCTGTTCTGGTCCACGCCGGTCCTTTTGCCAACATCAGTATCGGCGCAAGCTCGGTGATTGCCGACAAATTGGCTCTGAAGCTCGCGGGTACGGAGCCCGATGAGGATCACGAGTCCAAGACCGGCTTTGTGGTGACGGAAGCTGGCTTCGACTTCACCATGGGCGGTGAGCGGTTCTTCAACATCAAGTGCCGGTCTTCCGGCCTCTCTCCGGACACTGTGGTCATCGTGGCTACTGTGCGCGCCTTGAAGGTGCACGGTGGCGGTCCTGAGATCAGCCCCGGTGCTCCTCTGCCGGAAGTCTACCGCACGGAGAACATCGACATCCTGCGCAAGGGCTGTGTCAACATGAAGAAGCACATTGAGAACGCTCGGCAGTATGGTATCCCCGTGGTGGTTGCGATCAACCGCTTCGAGACGGACACGGAGGCCGAAATCGCCGTCATCCGCGAGGAGGCCATTGCGGCCGGCGCAGAGGACGCGGTCCCCGCCAACCACTGGGCTGAGGGCGGAGCCGGTGCGGTGGACCTGGCTCGGAGCGTGCTGGCAGCTAGCTCCAAGCCTAAGGAGTTCAAGCTCCTGTACGACCTGAACGGCAGCATCCAGGAGCGCATCGAGCGGATCGGCACCGCCATGTACGGCGCGGAGAAGGTTGAGTTCAGCGAACTGGCCCAGAAGAAGGTCGACACGTACACGGCGCAGGGCTTCAGCAACCTGCCCATCTGCATTGCCAAGACGCAATACTCGCTCAGTCACGACGCGGCACTCAAGGGCGCCCCCACTGGCTTCACTGTGCCCATCCGGGACGTTCGGCTAGCAGTGGGTGGTGGATATCTGTAGGCATCCCGTCTAATCTTCTGCTTAATTTGGATCCATCGAGCTAACCCATTGTGACTACAGGTACGCACTGGCTGCGGACATCCAGACCATCCCCGGATTGCCGACGGCGCCTGGATACCTGAATGTGGATATTGACCCTGAGACCGGAGAGATTGACGGTCTGTTCTAGACGGTAGATTCGACGTCATTAGTGTTTAGAGTTGGGACTGGTTTTATTTTCATAATGTCATCGATTATTACTGTTTGATCTAGCAAGATTTTTGGCCATGATAAAAACGGGCAAGGGAAGGGGTATTTCAACATATTACGGCAGGACTATACAGGGCCGGTGTTTTCGGGTCATTGAAGGAGGGTCAACTTCAACAGGATTGCAGTGTCTCTTTCTGCCGATATACATAGTATACAGACTATTATATAGAAGGTATCCCATGTAGAAATTCTACTGTGGAGATTATCTTGATCATCTCGATATTGACTACACTGTACTGAGTATAATTGAGTATGGTGCTGGGCCTGGCGTGGGGAATCATGGATGAGTCATCGATAGTTCTCCGGGGAGGAGAGTGGCAAGTCCGACCGGCAGCGACTTCGGTGGTTGATGACCCGGCGGAGCACACTTTGACTGTATCCGTTGCCGCGGGAAACAGCGGTTGCGATCGGCTAGACTGGTCGGAGAATTCTACTTTAAGCCTTTAACGTTGCAGACACAGGGTTGCGAATGGGATGGCCAAAAAGCAAATTACGCGGGATGTTGTCAGGTGCATTTAGGGTGTGACCATTAGAGTTGCGAGTTACGGCGTATACTGAGGGAGGTTATAGTTCGTTACGTGCACCGCGGAGGACTTCATCTTATCTTGATCGAGATCAATAGCGGCGGACATTAAGCAGGGAGGGAGGGAGGGAGGAATGGAGAGTCTGGAGTACTCCGTAAGGCGGGAACGGAATAGCGCAGAATTGCGTGAGGAAGAGGGTCTGATGCCACCACGGACTGCAGCTTGACCGGACCCATTAAGTTAGTAGCAAGTAGCAGCAAAAGTAGTGTCAATTCCCAGGGAAGGGAACTTTTCCCCCCCAGTCTGAGAGTCGAATAGTCCGGCTTCGGCGACCAGAAAGTCGCAACGGTGGGCGGAAAGGGAAGTGGGTGTGTGTCAATTCCAAGCCTTGGGAGGGAACATCCACGCCGGATAAGAGGTGTTGGGGCGCCCTCCATTTGCCTTTTCCTCTTGTTCTCTCTCTCCTCTCCGTTCTTCCCTCTTCCTCCCCAGGTTTCGATTGTCCTGAAAGGTTCTTGCTTATTGCAGGAAGATTATTTCCCAGAGTGAACAGAAACGATTTTCCGGGTTCTCCGATCTGCCCCGTGAAGGTCCCTTACAGCAACAGCATCTTGTCCAGTCCGGCTTAACGGCAGCTACCGAACTCCACCACCGCCTCCTTCCAGCCGAGAGCTTCACGGCTTCTTGCCTGTCTTTCCCTCGGGTATACTCTCTCTCCCTTCCTCCTATTCTCGTTGCCCCCAAGTTTAGGTCCCCTGGCAGCGTGGATTTGCGATCCTCCTCCTCGTTTCCCCGTACCCGATAAACTGATCCGCTTGGGCAGACTTTCCCCGGTTCCTCCCACACAGCAGGCCCAGTTACTGTCGAGTCTTTGGCAATCCATCCCACACCATGTCGTCTGTCCGGTTCAGTTCCGCATTGGCGCGCCGCTCCTTCGCCGTCGCTTCCCCTCCTCTCTCTGCCCCTCTCTCTTCCTCCGCTCGTCGCTTTCTCTCTTCTTCCTCCTCTTCTATTTCTTCTTCTTCCTCCTCTGTCTCTACTCGCTCTCCCAGATCTCTTACTTCTGCCTCTTCCCTTCTCTCCTCTCGTACTGCTTCTGCCCGCTGGACCGGTCTATCCTCGTTGAACCTTACTCAATCCCGCACCATGGCTACCGAAATCTCCAAGATCAAGGTCAAGAACCCCGTCGTTGAGCTCGACGGTGATGAGGTATGTTTGATTTGACTTTTATGTTTTGGCTTCCCTCCCCTCCTTTATATATGTACAATTCTGCATCTCGGCCCTGCCCCTCGTCGGGATGCGCATTTTCGTCATGGCGCATTCCAGACGCGGGGAATAACGGCGGCTGCCGCCTGGCCCCTGGCAGCCAAGCGTCAATCGTCGGCGATCCAGGGCTCAATTGCAGGACAGCAGAAAGTTTTGACATGTGCTAACGTTGACCTTTACTAGATGACCCGTATCATCTGGCAGGAGATCAGAGAAAAGGTATGTAGTTGGCCCTCGGCTGCCCCGCCACGCATCAGCTCCAGATGCATTCCTCCCGTTCTCTCCCGCATCTTCACACGCTAACTCGGCCCCGCTTCTATAGTTGATTCTGCCGTAAGTCGAGTTCTTCCGATTATTGACCCATCCAGTCCGTCGACTAAGACCTTACGCCTAGTTTCCTTGACGTCGACCTCAAGTACTATGACCTGGTAGGCTTCTGTGGCAAGAATTGGTGTACTGGGTGGAGACTGACAGACATTGCAGGGTCTTGAATACCGTGACCAGACCGACGACCAGGTCACCGTTGAGGCTGCCGAGGCTATCAAGAAGTATGGTGTCGGTGTCAAGTGCGCCACCATCACTCCCGATGAGGCTCGTGTTGAGGAGTTCAAGCTGAAGAAGAGTACGCATACCGAAGCATGTGAAGGAGTCATTGCTAACCCTTGCTTCAGTGTGGCTGTCCCCCAACGGCACCATCCGTAACATCCTGTTCGTACCTTGCTGCAATCCCTGCTGTTAAGCCCAATTGCTAATATCCTGCAGCGGCGGTACCGTCTTCCGTGAACCCATCATCATCCCCGCCATCCCCCGTCTCGTCCCCGGCTGGAACAAGCCCATCATCATCGGTCGTCACGCTTTCGGTGACCAGTACCGTGCCACCGACCGTGTCATCCCCGGCCCCGGCAAGCTCGAGCTTGTCTACACTCCCGTCAATGGCGAGCCCGAGACCGTCAAGGTCTACGACTTCCAGGGTGGTGGTGTTGCCCAGACTCAGTACAACACCGATGAGTCGATCCGTGGCTTTGCCCACGCCAGTTTCCAGATGGCCCTCCTCAAGGGTCTCCCTCTGTACATGAGCACCAAGAACACCATCCTGAAGCGCTACGATGGTCGCTTCAAGGACATCTTCCAGGAGATCTACGAGTCCACCTACCAGAAGGACTTTGAGGCCAAGAACCTCTGGTACGAGCACCGTCTCATTGACGACATGGTTGCCCAGATGATCAAGAGTGAGGGTGGTTTCGTCATGGCCCTGAAGAGTAAGCTTTCCCCTGACATTGTGTGAGGGCTATGCTAATCCAAAATGAATAGACTACGACGGTGATGTCCAGTCCGACATTGTCGCCCAGGGTTTCGGCTCCCTTGGTCTGATGACCTCCACCCTGGTCACCCCTACTGGCGAGGCTTTCGAGTCTGAGGCTGCCCACGGTACCGTGACCCGTCACTACCGCGAGCACCAGAAGGGCCGCGAGACCTCCACCAACCCCATTGCCTCCATCTTCGCCTGGACCCGCGGTCTGATCCAGCGTGGCAAGCTCGACGAGACCCCTGATGTCGTTACCTTTGCTGAGGAGCTTGAGCGTGCTTGCATTGACGTTGTCAACGAGGAGGGCATCATGACCAAGGATCTGGCTCTGGCCTGCGGCCGCAAGGAGCGTGAGGCCTGGGTTACTACCCGCGAGTACATGGCCGCCGTCGAGCGCAGACTCAAGGCCAACCTCAAGTCCCGCCTTTAAATACCCGATTGTTTTGCATTGATACACTAACGCTAGCGTGACTCGATGAGTCGATATTTTAGAATTACGGGTTGCATTATGTAGATTTTACAAAAGGTGGAGACAGTTGTTGAAACCACATGTATAGTGCAACTGATGTTTGTTCCATGTCTCATGAACTTGTACATGCTTGATAATGAAAATAGATGCAGTCTTCTATCTACTCGCAGTCTTCTGATAAATTATGCACTTTTCTGGAACATTTCCTAACCGAGCCCAACTGATGTAAGAGTACATAATGAATCTGGGCGCCAACGGACCGAACCGTGGATCCTCACAAATTGTGGTGGCACACCCAGCCCAGTCCAGCAACATCCGCGGGGATTTGACTTTATCAGTATCCTTGACGCAATAGATCTGGATCCGGCCTGCAACCTCGGGCTTAGCATTGCCACGTCTGCTTCAGCCAGCAGCAAATTTTATTCCCATTCAACATCTTTTAAGATATGATATCGTAAAAAAATGCATTCGAAAGATGCTGTTGCTTGCCCCTGCCTCCGAAGGAAGTAGACGTCGTCCGTTCACCCCAGCAGGATGTATGCCCTGCCCGTGGGAATCGTTTTCCTTTGTCTGGCGACGATCACGGTCGCGCTGCGACTGTATACAAGGTTGAGGTTGGTGAGGAAGCCGGGATGGGATGATTTGTTGATTGTAGTGTCGTTGGTGAGATGCCAGATACCCTCTAGGATAGTTGGTGATTGAGTAATGCTGATGGGAGTGGATAGGCGACTGATATAGTGTTCTTTGCGTTTTTGGTTATAGGTACCACCACCACCACCCTCAGAAATATATGATATAGGAGAAGTGCATAGTGCTGATAAGGATGAAATAGAAAGCCAAAACGGCCTCGCCGAAAACGAAGAAGATCTTCCGCCGGAGGTGGTGAGGAGACAATTGAAGGTATACATCCAACCTAACCCTACATCACCACCATACACATACACATACACATACTAACCACTCCATGAAATGGAATGGAATGAAATAGGCCCTCTGGATAACAATCCCCCTCTACAACCTCACTCTAACCCTCACAAAACTCTCCTTGATATTCCTCTACCGCCGCCTCTTCCCAACACACACCTATCGGATCCTCCTCATCCTCACCCTCATCTTCGTCATCATCACCGGCCTCTGGATGGTCCTCAGCACCCTCATCTTCTGCATCCCCATCAACGCCTTCTGGGATACCTCCCTGCCCCATACATGTCTCCCCGAGGATGTGGTCTGGTGTCTGAACGCCGCGTTCCAAATCACTACGGATTTGATCCTCGTGGTATTGCCGTTGCCGATCTTGGCGAGGTTGAATCTACCGAAGAGGCAGAAGGCTGCGCTGTTGGTTATTTTTGCGTTGGGGTTTTTGTATATCCCCCTGCCCCTGCCCCCATTGCCCCTTTGAAACTTATCTTATGGGTACTGATGATATGGAAATGGCGGTACAGTGTCTGCGCAACAAGCATCATCCGCCTAACAACCATCGTCCGACTCCTCCGAGATCCAGACTTTACCTGTACCCATACCCTTCCACCCTTACCCCATTTGTCCAACTCATACTGAAAGGATGTATAGCAGGAAACGGCCTCGCAGCAACCTGGTCCTTCATCGAATCCGCCGTGGCCATAACCTGCGCATGCCTCCCCCCTCTCCGACCCTTACTCGTCCGGGTATTCCCCAAACTGATTCCTTCTCGAATGCGATCTTATCACAATAGGGATAAGGATAAGGAGTCGCGATCTAACAGCAATAACAACAACAACAATAATAATAATAATAATAAGGCTGAGGAGGCGGGACTTCAACTTCCTTCACGACCACCCACGATATCTAAATCCCGGACGAGGAAATCCATATCGAAAAGAGGAGGAACGTCTAGGAATGAGGATCTTGATTTCCTATCTGTGTACGGGGGCGGTGCGGCGGGGTTGTTTGCGCCGGGGAGTACGGTGTCGACGAGTGTTTGGGGGGATGCGGGGAGTGTTAGGTCTGCGGTAGTTGATGGGAATGGGAATGGGAATGGGGTTGGGGAGAAAGAGGGGGATGGGAATGGTGGGGAAAGTGGGGGAGAAGGCATTCAGATTATGAGGGAGGTGAGGTGGGATTCTGTTTCTGTGGCGGAGTCCGTGGAGGGGAGTCATGGGGGAAGTCATGGTTGGGGAGATGTGGAGGGGAGGTTGTCGGAGGGGACGAGTGGGAGGAGGTCGAGTGGTGCGCCGTTTTTGCATCCGCAGTGGGTTGGGGGGAATATTGCTGAGTGGTAGTGTCACAGTATAAAGTAGGGTTTAGAGAATGGTATTCTCTGGTGCATGCACTGTATATGTGACGTCTGTCTCGGGCTAAGAGAATAGTAGTATCCGAATCATCAATGAACCAGTCTATCTACTAGTATTGATCAAGCATACTGAAGAATACTACATAACCCACACCTTTGTTAATGGCCAAATTCAACCTTCACCAATCTGATGTAAAACCCCCAGACCACCCATCATGAAACTTCACCCTCTGATCCGCCATTCTGAGCATTCTATGCCTCGGCATCTGTCTCAGCGTCCTCTGTGTCAGCGTCCACAGCCTCAGCGTCCACAGCCTCAGCGTCCACAGCCTCAGCATCCTCCCTCTGAGTAAAAGTTTGTTCCTGTCTAGTCAGCTACTGTAGAAAGAGCGGATCGAGTATGGCGGGCTAATAACAATGCAAGACTGCAAGACACTCACCACGTCTGTTTCGACAAAGATTCCTGACAGCCCTGCAACAACAGAATCAATACGATCAATCCCCATTTCTGGGGACACGTCGTCTTCGAACAACTGACCCCGGCGATTCAGTCTATCTCGATGTCGCGCACGCCCCCTCCCAAAGGAGCTGTTTCCACTGTCTCCTGAAGTCGCAGCTTCACTTCCTCCATTCGTCTGAGGTTGAGTATGTTCAACAGATGCAGATGCAGAAGCTGCATGGCCTGGCGTATCTACAGGAGTGACTCCGTTTACATGATTCCGGGGAGCTGCTTCTCCTTCCTGTTCTGCCTCCGCTGGAGGGTCTGTCCCGGTAATTGGTACGGCGTGAATGGAAGATGACTCAGTGATTGCGGTTTCCGATGCGGACCGATCTCTTGCTTCCGCTCTTATAGAGTCCCGAATATCCCAGCGCGTCCGACGAATTCGGTTCTCCTGGGATGCCTGAGCCGCCTGTGCTGCCTGAGACGCTTGGCTTGCCCGATGTCCTTGGTCTGAATGAGACATAGTCACTAGAGGAATTCCCTCTTCCTCTAGCAGAGAAGGGTTCGAATGATCCGGAGACTCTGGAGGCGAATTCAGAGGCGGATTTGCAGCAGGGTTAGGGGAATCCGCAGGATTATTGACAAGAGGGTTTTCAGGAGTATTCGCAGGTGGAGGATGCCCAGGAGGATCTGCAGGCGGAGGAGTATTTTGATGAGACGGGGGATGTTGTTCCTCATGTTCAGACTGATCATCATGCTCATGTTCAGACTGATCCTCATCCTCAGGTTGTTCCTCATGCTCAGGTTGTTCAGAGTGTTCAGGCTGATCCTCATGTTCAGAGTGTTCAGAGTGTTCAGAGTGTTCAGAGTGTTCAGAGTGTTCAGAGTGTTCA